TAATAGAAAGCCGCCCTGATCCGGGCCAGCTAGCGGAGAACATTTGGGAATTCTGAATAATATTTCTCAATCCGTTCTCTATCTTTCTAATTTCTGAAAGCGAAAACCCTCTAGAAACGTGCTTTCGAACAACCCTGAGATCTTTTCCTATAAATTTCCTGTAAGATCTTCCAGGTGGTAATGTCGTATAAAACCACAAAATCTAATGGAGAAAAACGCTACAAAATTAAAAACAAAATCACGTTTTCCAGACACGAGAATGCTCTCACTCGTCGATTCCCCATTCACTGTGGACGTCTCGAAGACGGCGCTGGTTGCCATGTACGAGAACGAGCTCACCGTCCAATTCAGGTTCCTACAAAACCAAATTCGAACCCTGCTTTTTAGAACATTCCGCTCGGGGCTCTTCTTCTTCTCGCTGTCAGACCACGGGGACGTGCTGATCGCCCAGATCACGCAGGGCACAATCCAAGTCATCTTCGATTTTGGTGGGTTGCCTGGAGAAGAGTTTAACTTATACCTCAGCCCACTAACTCGAAAACCCCCATTCACCCTTTTCAGGCTCTCTCTCCCCGTCAAAAATCTCGGGAGGCCGAGCTCTGGACGACGGGGAATGGCACGAACTGCGCTGGGTGCACCAATTTGATTCAGTTCAGCTGAGGTTGGTGAAACCCGCAAGCTTATTTCTAATGTCTTGCAGCATCGACGGCGTCATGCTAAACCAAACAACCCCGACGGGCCTATACAGGAAATTGGACCTACACTCGCAGGTGCGACCAGTGACGAAAGTTGAGGCCACTTTGTTGTAGGTCCATGTCGCCGGCCGACCGCCAGACGACTTCTCACCGGGCGTCGAGTCTTCGTTTCACGGTTGCTTGGCAAGAATGTTACTCAACGGGGTCGATCTGCTGTCGCACGCGCCTAGCGATCTTGATGCGCCATGCCAGGTTGGAATTTTCGGCAAATCCATACGAATCTAAAGTGGCTTCTTGCTCAAAATCAAACGGTTTCCCTTTACTAGGCTTTATCACAAACATAGAAAGCTACTCAAACATCAACGTTCACAAATTAGGTTTTGGAAAAATCAAAGACCGCTGGTCTTATGGCAATCGATAAAAGCACAAAGTGACAAAAACGAAAAATGGGAATTCCTCGGAAAATTGCTACAACCCAAAATACAAAAAATACAACGATGAAGCTCATGAATCTCGCGGGAGCGGGGGTTGCTCTTCTGTATGTGTGCATATCGCCCTCAGCAACCAGTTGCTTCGTCGATTCCGCCGATTCGTCAACCGTGCCCACGTCATCCACCTAGAAAGCGAGAGTCATCACCGCGAACGGATGCCAACTTACTGCTGTTTCACCTGCTTCATCTCGCGCACCAACGCGTTCAATCGCTGCGGCGTGGAAACGTTGGGCCGCTGAAAAAAAGGCTAATTTCGACGAAATAAAAAAGACTCACCAATTTAGCACGGGATACTGATGCGTGGCCAGGCATCGGTGGCCAACATCGAGATGTCGGCGCTGGCAATGCGTGGATATCGGTTTTGGCCAGCGACGCCTACACGATATTTTCTAATTCTTTACGGGCGCTAACCAGATCCTCGCTACACGGCTGTTTCGTCTTCAGTCGAATCTGCACGGGGCTCGCTTTATAGTCGATATCGGGTTGTCCCTTGACGGCGGATCGTAGAGTGCTGTAGAGGGAGTCTTCCTAATTTTGAATGTATTGTTAAAAGACGTTTCTTACCTGCGGTGGAGCATAAACCATGAAATTGTCGCCTAGGGCATCGCAGCGAACGGCTAAAAAAAGGTCCTAACAAACCCTCTGGTAGCGCCATACCTTCTTTTCGGCGGCTTCGTTGTGGCGGCGCCGGCGCTGGCTCAGCAATGTCCGGCAAGAAGGGCCTATAAAGAAACATTTACAAATTGTAAAGTAGTCGCACGATGTTGAAGGCAGTAAAGTTTGATGGTCATGCCGCGTCGGTGCCTCGCAAATCGTCAGTGAACTAAAAAACGATGTCAATCACAAAAAGATATTTACGATGATGTCCAAGCTTGTGGTTTGACGTTTGGGCTGACGAGCAAGAGACCGAGGCGATCGCGCGCGTACTGCATCCTCGAATCCTTTGCCGGCGCGGAGCAGCTGGGGCCCGGTTCATCCTAAAAAAGAAGATTTTCACCAAAAGATTAAGGCGCTTACTTTACCGGGGGTGAACTTCGGCAAGGCGATGGGCGACGGGGTTTTTGCACAGGCGTTCGGCGCCGCGTTGGCTGGGGCCTCGGCGGGGAGAAGGGGCTTTTCATGCGCGACCGAGGGCTTCATTGATCTAAAAAAAGAGTTGAAAGCGATAGTATATAAAAAAGGAAACTATTTAAATAATCATAAGGCCAAATTTTTAAAAGGGTAAAGTTCAAATCAACGAAATTCAAGTTTCCGGAAAATACCGAAATACGGAAATTGGAGCATTCGTAATCAAGAAAACAAACGGGAAAAAGCAACAAAAAAAAGAAAGAATCAAGAAAAAGTGAAGAAAAGATAAAGAAAATTCAAGAATCAAGAATAAGGAAAATATGATAATTTGATAAGGTTTTAACCTTTACTAAGGTAAAAAACATGCAAAATGCAATATTTTTCTTTTTAACATCTTTTAAGAGTTTCTAAACCGTTTCGAATCTTATTCTTCAGATGGCCCGCCCTCCCTCAATCTCGCTGCACCACGGCGCCGCCGCATGGGTCCCGTTCTCCTTCCTGCCGTTTTCCTTCGAGTTCCGCACGCTGCCCATCCCGTCGACGTTGCTCAATCTGCTCGACACGAAGAATGGGACCCTGTTAAAAGTAGCTAAATTTTCGGGCGGCAAATCCCCGGTTTTCAGGTATCGCTGGAAGACGGCAAGACGCTGCAGCTGATCTCAAACGTCACCAAGTTCAAGCAGATCTCACATCCAGGTAATAAATAGGGAATTGTACCCCTTTATTAATGCTTTTTAGCGATATGGGTAGCCGATGGAGGGTGGCACAGCCTGTCTCTGAGAATTCGCGGCTCGCGGCTTGAGGTCGACATTGACGGGTTTACCGTTTTGTGGCTGGAAGGTTCCGAGGTAGGAAACGGGGAGAAAATCTCATTTTTCGCGATTTGCAGGTCCGCCGAATCTCGGTGCAACTGTCGTCGTTGGTGCTAGCATCAGCTGGCTGCTATCGGAGCACCACTGTCGATTTCGCGACCGTGCGCACCGAGGGGAAAGTGGAACGGATGAAGTGCGGCATGGTCGACCGGTATGTTGGTTCTTTCGCATTATCGGGGGACCGAGCTTTTTTTGTCGAAGTCTAGTAATGTCTGGTAACTTAGAAAAACTATTAAAAACGTAAGTATACGAACATTTGGTCAAAAATCAGCAATTTTGGTAAAAAAACCCCGATATTTCTGACATTTTTAATAAAACATGTGAGACAGCTTTTCTGGATTTGCTATCCGATTGTCGAAACTCACAATGCTGAAAGTTTATAGCGGCGACATTATGCCATTTTGACATTATCAAGTTTCAACTTTGTGACTTTCCAGATTTTGAACTCGGCGATGCGAATTTGGACATTTCAAAGAAAACGCCTTTTTCTTAGGTGTTTGCCGAATCCCTGTGCCAATCGAGGGCTGTGCTCGCAGACGTCACTGACGGAATACGAGTGCCAGTGCGAGAAGGGGTTTTCCGGAAATAATTGTCACACTTGTAAGTATATCTTGATTAGCTGTAAGAAATTTTCACCTTTTTAGCCGAGCACTACCGTTCCTGCGAGGAATGGTTCTTTTTCCGCGATCGCAAATTCAAGAAAACCGAGCCGAGCAATGCAAAGACCAGGTATGCCAAGTCTTTCCTAACCAAAAACCCCGATTTCAGAAATATCACGGTTGATATCGACGGCGGTTCGAGATTGACGCCCTTTCAAATGCAGTGCAAGCGGGACGTGGATCCGGTCGGGAACGTTATTGTGAGTTTTACAAGTTTTGCGGTGATGTTAAATTGTTAGGTCACGTCCATGCTCGAGCACGACATGAAGACGGCGCTCGTCGTGAAGGGAGAGCAAAAGCCGGGCGCGGTCAAGCGCGCGCTGGACTACGGAATTGGGCAGGACGAGCTGGACGGGCTGGTTGAAGGTTTTGATGAGTGTCAACAGGTTTGTAATGATTTTAACAGCATGGGTTCTTTCTGAAAACGTTTAGTGACTTAATAGCAAATGTTTTAATAGTATTTTGTTATTAAAAATATCAATATTTAACTAGAAAAACTTTTAGAAAGCCGAAATTTTGGTAAAAATCGGACTTTTTTTGGTCGAAAATCGATCTTTTCATTTACACGCTTAGGAAAAAACTTACAAACCAACAAAAAACACTTCCACTATTTTTTATTTTAAAAATTAGAACGTAGGAAAAGCAGTTGGTCCCCCCGATAATGCGAAAGAAACAGAGCATGGTGGTTTTAGTGGATGTCCTACGGATGCCGCGGCGGAGCCAGGCTGATGACGTACAACGACGAGCGAACGCCTTCAAGTTGGTACGCGACGCGCGGGGATAAGCACGCCTTGCAGTGGGGCGAGGTAAGCCACAAAAATTAGTTATGCTATTACGAGAAACGTTTTTAGGCCCCGCCCTATTCGCGGATGTGCAGCTGCGCGGTCAACTCGACGTGCACGCACAATCGGTATCGATTAGAGCTGAAATTTATCCCTGAAATACCATAGTACGTTTTACTCGCTTGCTTTTAGGATGTGCAACTGCGATTCGGGGGAAGATGGCGTCGACGCGGGCTGGAATCCGTTTCCGCATATCCTACCCGTCACCACGCTATTCTTAGGCGGCACCACAGCCACATCGGCAATCAACGTGACGATTGGCCCGTTGATATGCCGGAATAAAAGTGGGTTTTTAGCGTATTAATTAACTTAATTCGTCATTTCAGTGGTCTTCGAGCCCGTCACGTTCATCTCGAAGAACGCGCGACTTGTCGGGCAGAGTCGTGCCCCATCCGAGCACTTTTCGCTTCTTTTCCACATCCGCTTCACCCATCCGCTGCTCTCAATCTTCACCTGGGAGAGCGTCGACGGGCTCCACTGGTTCCAGCTGTACGTCAAGGGTCAGAGTTGCTCCCTCGAGGTCTTAATGTGGATTTAGGTGGTCAACTCGTCGGCGAGGTTGTGAATGGGGGTGAGACCGTGACGCTGACGACCCGCGACGCGTTCAACGACGGGAAATGGCATGCCGTTTATTGGGAAGCCGACCAATTGGGGGTAAGCGGAAACTGGGAATGCCCAACCATGCCATCACTTTAGATGCGGCTCAGCGTCGACGGCGCGACGGCCCACTACAAGGGCCTGCTGCTGCTGCCCAGCGTCCACGAGTGGGTGTTCGGCTCCCGCGAGGGCAAGGGGCTCACCGGAATGGCCGGCGTGCTGCGGAACATCTACCTATGCGGCGACGAGATCGTGCTTGCCAATATAGCGCGGAAGGGGCCGATTCAGGGGATACAGGTGAGGGAATGGATGGCGGCAGTTGTTCTAAATTTTTTTTGATATTATGGAACCTAAAACTTTACAAATTGCCATTTGAAGATTGAATTTTAGGTCGGCAAACCCGGTTTTTTTTTCGAAAAATCGAAATCGAAAAAATCTGTGAAAAATGGCCAACGAGCCTCAAACTTTTCGTGTTTTCAATTTTTTTTGCGCATTTTTTGTAATTCTCTATCAATCAGGAAAAATTGCCAAACGCTGCTTACGCGAAAAAAATCTCATCGCCGAGAAATACAAAAAAAAATATTTTTTGAAATACATTTAGAAAAAAGTTAATATACGCATCGTCTTTTTTTATTTATGAGTTTTTATTTACCAGCCCAACGTGTTTCAGATCGGCGAAGTGGGCCACTGCCAGCCGGGCTACTGCCACAACGGCGGCCAATGCGTCGATGGGTTCGACTCGTACCGCTGTGACTGTTCGTTGACGCCTTTCGGAGGGAATGATTGTACTCGGGGTCAAGATGGAAAGATCATATAACTTTCATTTGTTTTAGAATACGGTATGTGGGTGCCGCTGAACTCGTCCCTCGAGATCCCCTGGCAAAACCCGGCCCAGCAGGACGTTTGCCATCGGATAGCCATTCAGGTGAATACATCTCTTTTGGCTCTTTCCGTGAACGGGGGCAGGGACGTAGCGTAATACCGGCCCCGGGGGCCCTGGCCCCGAAATCGGCCGGGGCCCGAAAATTTCATAAGGGGGGACCCTTATGATTTTCATTTTTCTCGAAAATTTTGCTGCCTGCGGCGCTATTTTTTTACGTTTTTACGGCGATTTGTAGAGCTATGCAACCTTTTTTCCAAAATTTTTGCCTGCGGCGCTGTCTTTCCTCGTTCATCTTTTGAGTTTTTGGAAAAATTTTAGGGGCCCCCGAAATTTTTTTCTGGCTACACCCCCTGAACAGGGTC